CTCTGGGGTCCCCAGAGCCCCAGGCCTCGGGAGGTGCCAGTGAGTCCCCAGGTGTTGGGTGGCGGGCGCCGGGCCCCGAGGCTTTTGCCCCTGCCTTGCTTCTTGCTCCTGACCTGGGGGTGAGGGGAAGGTGCCGCTCGGGTCGGGCCAAGTCCCTGAGTGACCTGGGCATTGCATGGGCCCCTCCCAGCAGCACCCCGGAGGTCCCCGTCTCCCTGTCCAGGCCACCTGGCGGCCTTTCTTGGGGTTCCCAGAGTCGCGTGCTCTTGCTCTTCTCCATGCAGCGGCTCTTCCGTACCCGAGGACCCCGAGCAGGTCCCAGGCCTGGCCGGGGACGCTGCGACTGCCAAGGGCCCAGTCCTGCCAAGGAACGTGCTCAGCGAGAGGGAGCGCAGGTGCGAGGCCTGGCAGGGGGAGGGGTCTCCGGGGCCACCACAGCCTGCCCCTTGCCTCGAGGACCCCGTCCCGGTTCTGATTTGCTGTGGACGGGGCAGCCAGCCTGGGGCCCGGGACCAGGGGTCCAACCGGCCTGTGCCGAGGCTGGAGCGCCCATATCGGCCTGGCCCTGGTGACCCTGCTGCCGAGAGTCGCCTCACGCGGGGCTGCTGGGTGGTGGGTTCCAGGGCCCGGTCCCATGTCGTGACATCGGAAGGGTCCTTTTTCCGTAAGCAGGAAGCGGATCTCGGCGAGCTGTGAGCGCCTTCGGGTCCTGCTGCCCAACTTTGACGGCCGGAGGGAGGACATGGCCTCTGTCCTGGAGATGGCCGTGCAGTTCCTGCGGCTGGTGCACAGCCTGGTGCCCGTCCGGGAGCAGCCCCACGTGAGTTGTCAGCGGGACACCCAGTTCCCTGCAGGGCCCCGTTGGGCTTGTTCAAGCTGCACCTGGGGTTTTTTATTTTCCCCAGGCGGGACCAGCGTTCCCCAGGGCGTGGCCCTCAGATGTCCCCGACGTTGATGAGCCACCCAAGTCCTTGACAGAGGCCTTGGGGACAGTGGGGTGTCTGTGCTTCCTTGGCCGAGCGCCCTTTAGACTGCGCTTTCAGCTGCATATGAGAGCGTGGCCCTGAGAGGGCCAAGTCCCCAGTGTTTCATGCCACACCTGGGTGTGCGGGACTTTGGAGCAGCTTGGGGAGTGGAGTTGTGCCGTGTCTGGAGCGCTCAGAAGGGTGCAGCATCGGAGCAGTGCCCTGGTTGTCACCGGCACCCCCAGCCCTGTCCCAGGGAGATGCAGGCGAGCTCGGGATGCACCTCCAGTGTCTGGGCGCATGGTGAGGCAGCTGGTCCCCCACAGCTACTTCCTGTGGGCCTCACAGGTGACCCGGGCTGCTGGTGCTTTGAATTTCAGGTTCCTGCTCCCTCTAGGGCCGCGTGGCACACGTGGCAGGGGGACGTTCTGCAGTGGACCGTGGAGAGCCAGGTTTCGGCAGGCGGGTCAGACTCGGGGACAGCTGCATCCAGCCTGACTCTGTGAGTGTCCCCATGCTCCATCTCTCAGGCCACGAGGCAGCTAGGTCCCTGGCACATCTACGGAAGGGGGCTGGTGTGGTCTCCAGGGCCAGGAACTTGCCCTAGGGACGGGCCTTCTGTTCCTGCTTCCCAAGACCAGAGCCGGGTCAGGGTGCCATGGATTCTCAGAGGGGCAGTGTGGTCCGCAGCCTGGGGGGCCGGATGGCACAAAGGACGAAGCACCCAGGTCTAGGTGCTTCCTGGCCCATGGGCTCAGGCTGCTTCTGTGTTCTCACCATCCAGGCAGCAAGAGCCCCTGGGGTGTGCGCCCCAGGGTGCGGACGAGAGCAGGGCCCCGGCTGGGTTGTCAGAGCTGCTGGACGGGCTGCCCGTCCTGCCTGGTGAGTGTGGGCACACGTGAGCGTGCCAAGCACGTGTCTGTCCCTGGCAGGACGGGAGGGCTCAGAACGGCCATCTGAAAACCCCGAGGTTGGGCTCTGACTCCAGGGCGCCCCCCCACCCTGCTGCCCCACAGGGCCCTACCCCTCCTCACTCTGGGCCTCCACGCATCCCTGTTGGACAGGGTCACTAGCTGGCCCTGCCTGTGGCCGGCTCTCCCCACATACACTGCTATCTGTGCCTTTGTTTCCCTGGCTGGCCGATGGCGGGTTTGAATCCCAGATTGGGCAGTGTGCCTCTGCCTGTGAGGCTGCAGCCTCCCAGCCCCGTTTCCGCCCTGTGGGCCTTTGTTCTCTGTGACTCCAGCTGAGCCCTGAGCTCCTGCGGGCAGGCATCAGGGTCGCCCTGGGGCACCTCCAATGGCCGTGTGGCCCTGTCCTCACCTCCCTGGCTGCTTGTGGCTCCACATACACGTAGCTTGAAGCATGGGGAGGTCACCCTGAGTGGGGTGCCATCCGCTCCCCCGAGTGTGCCCATGGTTGGGGAGGAGCCAGCCATTGGCAGGGCTGGAGGCTGAGCTGCGGTCACCAGGAATCCTGGGATCCACATGGCATGTGTCAGAGGGCATGCAGGCTGGAGCAGGACTGGGCCTGAGGTCGAGGTTCAAGGCCGAGGGACTCCCAGATCCGACCCCACAGTGCCCTAAGGCCTCCCTGTCACCTTCCTGGTCACCCCTGTGCCCCTGCTGCTGGGCTTTTTGCTTTGAGCAGCAGCGCTGGCCTCTGGGGAGTGTAGAGGCTATGGGCGGGCTGACAGTGCTCCCCCCACAGGGCCCTCCAGCCTGGGGTCCCGGCCCCCGCCCTGGCCTTCCTGCTCCTGGCAGCCAACCTCCTCCAAGACACATGAGGAAGCTGCCAGCAGGCCAGGCCAGGCCGGGCCCCCGACCAGGACCACCACATCTCCAGGCAAGCTGCTCAGGGAGGTGGCCCTGACGCCCGCACCGGACACCAGGTGAGTACCACACACGTCTGTGTGTGTCTCTGTGTGTGCCCTCGCCAGCCTCCCTCCACTTCGCCCCAGGCCCTGCCTGCCTTCTCCCCTCCGAGCTCCTCAGATCCTGCGCGTCCCTGCGTGTGGCTCTGTGACGTGCGTCTCTGAGGATGCTGTTGTCTCTCAATTGTCTGTTGTTTTGGCTGATGGAGAATGAGTTTGTGGTTTGGGCACACACACCAGCTGGGCGTGGGAGCGGAGCACGGCTGTGGCTGCGGCTGGAATGGGACCAGCAGAGATGCTCACAGGCCAGCTGGGGCCTTCTGCTTGCTGCTTGGGTGTGGAGCTCCCAGAGCAGTGCCTTTACGTGCTTGGGGCACCCCTTGAGGTGGGTGGGTCTGAGCCCCCAGTGGCCGTCTTCGTGCTTCCAGGTCTGTACCTGGGCTGGACGTGGAGGACGGGGACTGCTTCCCACTGAGCACCAGTCCTCAGTGGTGGCCAGGTGAGTGGGGCCCCGGTCAACTGTCTTCGCCCACACAGGTCCCGGCTGGGAGGTGGCTGTCCAGGGACTTCTGTGGGCCTGTGCTGCTTCCTGTGCTCTTGGTTGTCAGGGTGACTGGCAGGGAGAGGCAGGTAACAGCAGAGTGTGTGCAGCTGCCCAGGGTCCTGGGCCTGTTCTCCCTGCCCTTGTCCCCCAGGTGACCACACTGGTTCACAGAGGCAGCTGGAGGTGAAGTGTGGTGGCTGCTGCCTCTGGGAGCAGGGCTGCCCATCCCATGGAGTGGTGGGCTCTGGCGCAGACAGTGCGCTCCTGAGGGTTGCTGTGGGAGCCCCACTGTGTCCTCACTCTGTCTGCCCTGCTGATGTGTCCCTGTGCTTTCAGGGTCCGGGGAGGCCAGAGGAGCGACCCCAGGTGGGGTCCCAGCCAGGAGCAGCCCAGTGGGCAGTGCAGAGCCCGGCTTCCTGGGTGACCCTGTGCCCAGCTCCGAGGAGCTCCAGGAGAGCTCCCTGGAGCTGTGGAGCTCGGACATGGACACCTGGGGCCTGGACCTGCGGGATGACATCTTCACTGACTTCCTGGCCTGCTAGAGGGTGGTGCGTGGCAGTGGTGCCCGTCAGGCACGTGGAGGGTTTATTTTGGTTTGGTCGCAGCTGTGCTCTAATTTGAGCTAGGCTGGCAGCCACGTGCTGGGGGCTGGATATTAAAGGGGGAAAGTGCCTTTCCTGGAGGAGGCAGTGTTTGTGTGGCTTCTGTGTGATTAAACGGATCTATCAGCAGCACCGACTCGGTCCCTTGAGGCAACGGCCCTGGAGCCTGGGCTGCAGCACAGCGCTGGGCCACTCCGAGCTGCTTCTGCCTGCCTGGTGCCCTCCAGGTTGAGGGGCTACCCAGGGATGGTGTTCTCTCCATCTGGTGCTCCCAGCATGGGGCTGCCCCCACGCACTGGTCACCTCTGCTTCTGGGCTGTTGGGGCACCCCAGACCCCAAGCCCAGCAGGCCCTGTCCCTGTGCCCCCCATCAGCTGGGTTTGGGCCCGGAGCGGTGCCAAGCCCCATCCTAGCGTGGCCTTGGTGCCCTGGTGTCAGCAGAGCTCACCCATCACACGTGTCATTGCGGACTCACCAGGCAGGCATGGGGAGGAGGCTGTCACCGGGGCTCAAAGCAAGCTGACTGCCCGCCAGGCCAAGCTCCTCACCAGACTCTCACCGTGGGCCTGTGTACTCACCGCAGCCCCTTGGAGGGTCCAGGGCCTTGTGGCAGTGCAGAGTTCTCGAGGCTGAGGACCTGCAGGTGATGAGGGGCCTCTGGGAGCCAGCTGTGGAGACGCCCAGTGTCCGTGTTTGCTCTTCCTGCCCCAACAGCAGTTGCCCCTGGGAGCCTGGATCTGGGAGTATCCTGCAGGAACACAAGTGCGCGTGCATGCATGTGTCTGTACACCAGTGGGTGTCGGTGCACGGACACGTGGGCGGACATCTGAAGGACTGTCACAAGACTGGGCACTGCAGGCCTGGGGGCTCCCCGCCTTGCACACCAGCTCCTGGGGTAGCAGTGGGGATGGCTGAGCCAGTGCCTGCCTGGTGCTGCATGCTATCGGAGGCTGGTTTCCCTGCAGCCCTATGGCAGGGGAGGTCAGGGAGCCCCCAGATTCCCCGCTGGCAGGTGAAAGAGGGACCCCCGCCGGGAGACAAGCGGCCTCCTGTGCTGAGCAGGAGGGGAGTGAACCTGAGCCCAGGCCTGGCCTGTGGTCGGCTATCACTGCTCAGGGACTTCACGAGGGGCCTGTGTCCTGTCCTGGGACTGAAGGCAGCCTGCTTCTCAGCTGCACCCAGGTGGGTAGGGGGCTGCAGGCCCTACCTGGAAGGCTGTTCAGGACCGGGCGTCCGGGGCGACTACAGGGAGTGGGGTTGGGCTTTTGGAAGCATCTGCTTCCCTCAGGAGCGTGGGAAAGGGGGCCACCTGGGCCTGAGGTCTCCCTGTGGAGGCCACGGAGGAGCAGGCATCTTGCTCCCTTCCTCCCTTGCTCCCGTGTAGCAAGCGCTCTGCCTGCTCCACTCCTGGGGCTCCAGTGTGAGCGAAGGTGCCGGTCTGGATGGCCTCACTTAGCGAGGGAAAGTTCAGCACGCTCCCCACACACCCTCACCCCTACCTGGTGTCCCGTTTCCCCGGGAAGTAGGGCAGGGGCCGCCTCCTCCCACCGGTGCCCAGCCTGCAAGGACAGCTGGGCAGAGGAAGCTGGGCCTCCCCCACTCCAGCCCTGCCACCACTGTCGCCCACAGGCACCCAGGGGACACAGTCCATGGCCTGAGGGCACCCTACCCCCGGGTGGCATGGCACTTCTTGGAGTCCCACACCCCTTGCCCTTGTAGGGGCCTTGTAGGGGCCTTGTGCCCAGTGGTCACCGAGTCCCTGTCAGTCCCCTGAGGTGGTGGCAGAGGGATGAATGTGGCACTCTGTCCCTGGAACTGGCCCTTATTGCTTCCTCCACTGGCAATAATGGGGCACATATGCCTTTCCATGATGCGGTGACCCCAAAATTCTCACGAGTGGAACCCGAGACGGGATGGAGCCTCATGTAGAAATGGGGTCCTTGCAGATGTTCTTGTTTAAGGGGTTTGAGACAGGATCATCCCTGGCTTAGGGTGGACCTAAATCCAATGACAGGCGACCTTCAGGGGAACTTGGGGGCAGAGGCCAGGTGGCCCAGAGGCACAGCTGGGACAGTGAGCCCCCAGGATGGGGAGAGGCCTCCAGAGAGACCCACCTGCTGTAGACAGCCTGGCTTCTGAGTTCATCTCCAGGGCCGGAGGGGACACCTTTGTGCTGCTTCAAACCCTGACCACAGTCAGCGGGCATAGCATCCCGGGGGTGGCATTCCTGGTTTTGCTCCCAGGTGGCAGCCTGTCTCAGCCTTGCCCTTCTCCACAGGCTTTGGGGCACCCGGGCACGGGCAGCAAACTTCTTTGAAGCCACCTTGCTGGGTCGGCATCTTCACATCCCCAGTGTCCCCACCATTGTTCCTCTGGCCTCCCAGGTCCTGCCTGGCCCTGCTGTGGCCTTGGCTCAGTTCTCCTGTCCCGGAGGTGCTCCTGGCAGGTGGGCAGAGGCTGTGGCCATGTGAAGGTCCCGGGCATCGCTGGCCCCAGCTGTGTTCCGACGGCTTTCGGTCGGGGTCCTGTCAGGGAAAGCACACGGCCCTATGCGGTCGCCCCGCTCCCCAGGTCACTTTCCTCAGCTGGGCACCCAGGCGTGGCTGCTGCCCCGGCCCAGGACAGAGAGCCCCGTCGTCCTCGCCTACCGGAGCTCCCGGAGACACCAGTTTTGGAGCTCACAAGCTGACCCTGCCGCTGCCTCCTGCTAGCTCACCAGACCTCTGTGGGCACCGCTGGCCAGTACCTTGCTGCTGGGGGTTGGTGTCTGCCTTGTCCTGGGGCCTCTTTGTTTTTCTTAATCCTCATTTGCTGTCACAATGATTCCACTCGTCATGGGAGTTGCTGCGCTCCGTGAAACTTCATCCTCTTTACACCCTTCCCCTCCCCTCCCTCACCCTCTCTCGCCTCTTGGTCCCTTCCTATTTTAAAAATTGCTTTTTCTGGCTTTGGCTTTGTGTTATTGGCTCCTTTCCCTCGGCATAAGGTCTTCAGGGTTCAACCATGTTGTGTGACAGTTTTCTTCCTTTTTGAGGCTGGGTCCACTGTGTGTGTGTATGTGTGTGTGTGTGCGCGCGTGCATTTGCGCAGGCGCGCGTTTTGTCTCTCCACGATCTGTCTGTAGGTGTTGGGATCGTTGTCATCCTTGGCTCCTGCAAATAATGACACTGTGAACCCGAGGATGCGCATCTGCAACCGCTGGGCGGCTCGGCTCCGGCTCTCGGTTGTTCGGGTCCGTACACCCAGGAGTGGAGTTGCTGGAGAGATCTAAATCTGTTTGTTTACTTAACGGTGCAGGGATTTAAACGCGGGCCTTGCGTGTCCCAGGCAAGTGCTCTGGCGCTGAGCCACCAGCTGCCCGTGGTTTCTGGACCTGCGTTCCCAAGTTTGCCCAGTGAACGTGTGTCCACGTCCCCGGTGCCCGTGGTTTTGTTTCAGGTGGAAGCGCTGACAGTGGCCGTGCTGCAGGGGATGAAGTGGCTCTCGGTGGCCCAGGTTTGTGCTTCCCACGGCGCTGTTCAGCAGTGCTGCTCAGCATGGGCGCCTCGCCGGGACAGTGGTGCTCAGGGCGGACGCTCTGGGTGGGTCCTGGCCAGCACCCTCTTCCGGATTTGCAGGCGCTCTCTGCTATCTGCTGGGTCCCTCTCTGCTCCTGTTCGTGTCCCCTGACTCAGAAGCTTTTGATTATGATGATATTTGGTGCCTCTTCTGTGCTGGGTCCTTGTGCTTTTGCTGTCGCTGCCAAGAAATCAGCACCAGTGCAGTGCATCACAAGGCTTTTTCCTCCAGAGCGTTAGCTCTCAGGTGCGGGCTCTGGCCGGCTTGGAGGATGCAGGCGGTGGCAAGTCCTGCCCTCCCTGGTGTCTGGGGACAGGACTGCCAGGCCCCTGTGGGCGCCCTCCCCACCAGGGGACCTGGCACCTTTGTCACCAAGCGCTAGAACACGTGCGCATGTCCTTCCCGGGCTGCTGTTCTGCCCCCGCTCTGGGCCGGCCGCACCCTTTGCTTCCTGCGGCTTTGGGGCCTGTCCTGCAGTCAGGAAGTATGAGTCTTCCCGCTGGTTCTTTGTCAAGATTTTGGCTGTTTGGGATCCCTCGAAATTCCATGGGAATTTTAGGGTGATTCTTCAGACTTCTGCAAAGACAAATTGCCCTGGGGTTTCAGTAAGGATCACAGTGGGCATGCGGACTGCCTGGGGTAGTGTGGGCTTCTTAAAAAGATGAGGGTTTCCTATCTGTCAGTGAGACGTTTTCAAAGTATAGGAGTTTCCACTTGCTTGGTTAAGTAGCGTTGTACTCGTGTTATTCTTTTGGATGCTGTTATAAATAAAGTACCTTTAATTTCTGTTTCAGATGTATGGAAACAACAGTGGGTTTTTCTTTTTCTTTTTGGTACTGGGTGCTATAGCCAGGGCCTTCTCGCTGAGCTCCACCCCAAGCCCTTTACTTTTTATTTTGAGATAGTCGTACTGAGTCACTGAATTGCCCAGCCTCGGATCAAAATTGGGATCCTCCTGCCTCAGCCTCCCAGAGTACTGGGATTATGGGCACATACAACCATGCCTGGCTTAGGACCAATTGATTTCTGAGTTTGACTTTTGCCTCCTGCTAGTTTGCAGAATCATTTATTCGTTCTGATTGCTGTTTGGAATCTTGGGGTGTTCTACGCGGAAGATCTTGCCCTCTGGAGAACGACAATTTTGTTTCGCTCTCCTGACCGGGATTAGCCCTACACTGATTGGTCCGTGCTGTTATTTTGGTTACATACACTGCTATTGGCTCATCCGAGGACAGTCCCAGTTTCTTCAGCTCTTTGGTGCCGCCAGGCTCCTCCAGGGCTGCCTCCCCCCGTGAGGTGACTCACGACTCCACTCACCCTGGCTAAGTGGCGCAGTGGACGCTTCCCCCAGGCCCACACAGCCATGGCATTTTCATTCCAGTGCCAGCATGGTGCGTCCTGGCCCCAAGACCTTGCCCACGCGGGTGACTCAGTCTCCGGTGAGCAGCTCTGGTGGGTAACAAATGACTCAGTTCCTAAGGCCGCCTCGCATCTCTCCCCTGCTTGCTGGAAATGTGTGCAGCTTGAATCTCTGTTTAAATTGTCTGTTAATTCGGGGAAGGCATGGGTGA